TGTCGCAACAATGAAAACTACTATTTTGCATTCTCAATATTTCAATTAAATGGTATTGTTCATCACGACGTGAGATGGATGGACAGGTCTTCTCTAATAAAAAACCGATCATTCTTACACTAATTAAATGGGACAGCTTCATAAAGACTGGCTTTCTGTTTACGGATTCATTTCTATAGAGAAAGCGTTTTATCTGAAGAAACGCGAAGGAGCAACAGGAGCCATACATCAGGTATTAATTTTCCTTTTCGTATATTTTAAAACTCGATAAAAAGTAAAAGGTGAAATTTAACTTCTACAAACAGAGACTATTAGAGTACCGAGTAAAAGCAAGTGTATTTTAAATAATATCACACGAACTGTTATTTTTGCATCCTCAATATTTTGAGATATCGTCCATTTGAGGGCGAGAGATGAATGGCAATCTGCAAGTCTTTCTTAATAAGGACGTCGCATTTAGCAAACTCTTTAACTGTTCGGCTGTTTGGGATAACACTTAGAACGGAAAGAGAGAGAGACTACATCTGGCCCAGAAATTCGCGAAAATAAAATCCACTTTCACCTTTTCTTCATTATAATGTTCCTGTTTGAGTCACGAACACCTGTAGAAAGACTGGCTTCCTATCTTCCTATCTTTTGCATTTAGCATTCGTAATTTTCCAATCAAGAACGAAAATTTTTATTGAAGCTATTCAATAGAGGGTTAACAAGTGAGCTTACCGTAATCGTGTAAACATAAATTGATTCAGTTAACTGCAGTACACAATATGGTCATGATCGTCAGTAAAACGTACTGCTAGGAACAGCTAAATCGTTTGAAGTATGGGAAGGGATGAACAAATTTGGTCAACCGTTACGCATCGGCGGCCGCATAGAGTCATCTCGGCTTGCAATTGCTTCATGCCAAATTTCAGCGGTTTACTCTTAATAGTTCTGACCTATTCTTTTGACGAATTTCGACCAGAGTGCCCCCTTAAGTAACTCGGCTAAAATTCAAACATCAGCTAGAAGACGTTCGGGTCAGTAAAATAGTACTAAACCCTACGGTTGGTTGACGAATACTCTTTGCATTTGCAAGAACTCGTGAGATACTGTTTATAAATATGTAAGGTAAATAAGATCGAAGCTGATCACTTTTTCCTTAATGCTAATTAAGGTAAAGTCTGTTTACGAGCCTAATGGCCCGTTAGGCCGGTGCTTAACTCCAGTTTCTGTAGCATGAAGCGACTAGGAGTATTTCTAATTCCCCCGTGGATGGGATGCCAGTCCATCGCAGGGTTACCCCCAGCATTAAATTTGCCGGTACCCATTTATACACCTGGGTGGAGAGAGGCACTGTGAGAGTATAGTGTCTTGCCTAAGAACACAACGCAATGTCCCGGCCGGGGCTCGAACCCGGACCACTCGATCCAGAGTCAAGCGCACCAACCATGAGGCCACCACCCCTCCATAATGCTAATTAAAACTTCTTAGAACTAATATACACCCACGGAAATTACGTAATAATTGTTATTTTTAAAAATCTGATCAATATACAATTTGTCAATTTGATTATTGATTCAATGAAATTAGAGCTATTACGATCAAAACTATGGTTAGGTTTAAGAATAATCTGATCGATGTTTAATTTGTCAAGTTGAGAATTGAATCAA